GTGTACTCAGACCAGTAATATTTGGGGTCACAAGTTTTTGCCATGAATATTTTGTGGGTCAGAAGATAAAAAGTTTGGCAACCACTGATCTAGATCACAGTATGGTAATTCACACTTAAAATAGAAATATCTTTAAAAAGAAAAATCATGTGAATGATTATTTTTTCAATGATAATGAATCACTAGCCTGGCCCTTGCCTTCCTACGCAGCTCCACTCAATTCTAGTTTCCTTCTCTGCTCCGTCTGGGATTTCTCCCATAGACAAGGATTTCTCTGGCAGATWTTTAGCCGAACCAGTCAGAGAACAGAACGTCGATTTTCTGCGCAGTGTCTGCTTGTTAGTTTAGCATTCTGCAGTGGAGGAAGTGAAAGAAGCCAGTCTGTGTTGATAAGGCTTCCAAATAAAAATAAAATTGTCTGACAAAGCAGCAGCTCTCATTTACAGTCGTCTCGTTCAGCTCGGTTTATTTCTCCTCTCAGTAGGGTTGTTTACAGCRCACGTGATTTCCGGTTAGCTTCTTAGCTTAGCCTCCGTCACAGCGACATATACAGTACACACACACTTCAGCAGAGGCCACGCCTCCTGCAAGAATCGCTTCTCTATGCAGCGAGTCCAGACCCTCGTACGAAGCAAAGTGAAGAACAGGGTCTGGCTTTTACCAGACTAATGAATCACAAAAGATTAAAACAGATTGTTGTGTCATTATCTGCAGACAAGGRCAGATTRTTGAAACTAATATAGAGTTTGTCTCTACAAAGAGGTTTTTCAGAATGGAGTTCAGTCAGTTAGGAGACATGACCGGTGGTGTCAAAGGGTCATGTCAGGGCACGCTCGTTCATGCTACAACTGTAATCCAGGGAATCAGTTTGTGGAATCGTCTTGCTATTATTATAAAAGCCTCTGAAACAATCTGTGTAGTTAAAAAGATGATTGAGTCATAGTTATTGAGGAAAATAAGATACCTCTTGTATTCACGTACTTAGTGGAATTAAGATATGAAGGATGCCTGATGTTTTCACATTACCTTTTTATAAATTTGGAGATGGTTCAAGCTTGAGTTTGTTTGAAAATAAGGGGCAAATCTAAGATTTTGTTCTTCACTCAACACCCTTTTCATACAGGACATGATTCACTTTATTTATTTTACTAGATATACATTATTTAGTCTTTATGAATTAAATAAATGAGTAAGAAAAATATATCTGTTTTGACATGGTGTAACCTCAAAGTCAAGTCTTGTGGCAGGAAGTTTTTCCTGCTGCAAGTCATGGAAAAACGCACAAGAGATGCATTCATTATTGAAGACAGGCTGAATGTTTTTAGCAGCAACTGTGCTTCTTCGTACATCTCCAGTGTGGGCAGTATGGAGTTAACATTCAGTGCTTATGTTTCACTTTAAGTTCTGTTAGAAAGTAATAGAAAGGCWAGGGTTTTTGTGATTTTTAAATTATCCAAACATAAGACATTTTTTAGATACCAGTGGCTTTCTGCTATTTATGTGAATACCTTGGTTATTTGGGTTATTTGGCTAAGGACAAAATACACTCTAAATCAGGGGTTTCTTAACCTTTTTGACCTCGGGGCCCAATTTGTTGAACATAAAGTGACCTGAGGCCCAGTCAGACATTACC